ACAGATACTGGTAAAAAAATGAATCGCGATACAGAAATACAGATACGAAATGTATTTCTGAAATACTATCGCGACACATTTGTATCGCGATACTGCCCAACCCTGTACGCAGAGTACTGTGCATGTAAATGAAAAGAGTATGCACAGTTCGAGGTATAAATTGACATATAAAATATATGGTAATTGCAATCATATAGAACATTTATAATATGTATAAAACACTGATACTAATGCAAGAGTTCATTAAGATATGTATATATCTGATTAAACCCCAGAGATAAAACAACTCTTGAGATATGTAAAGTTAAGCCCTATAATAATGTCACGAATGATAATTGATGACGCGATGAAAACTGAAGCAAGCTAAACGTTTAATGGGGCGAACTTGTGCCCAAAACAAAATAGGAAACGGCTAGCGTGGCAGGCGTCAATGGCGGCGAAACAGCACTCTCGAACGCTGCTGCTAGGCTGACTGCTGTTCGCCACGTGGAGCCCCTTACGTAGACGCGTTGGCTTCTGGAACAATCGCCGTAGAAGGATCTGGGACTAGAAAATTTGGACCTCGAACAAGCAACATAGTTCTCGAACTTACCAGAACATCAAATTGACAGAAAAAATAAAAGACGCGTAACTTCCAGGAATCAAACCCTGGGCTTCCGCACGAATGTCAAACGCGGTAACCACTCGGCCACCCACTCGCTCGCTCGGCGACGAGCGTGTCAATATAATGGTTGATTGTCTTGCCTGAACTGGGGCTAAGTGAAACAGAAGTAAATCGACTCAAAATGTAGTATAAACCTCTGTTGTTTACCATAGTTTGTTGAATATAGTAAACTTCCGATCGAGGTGGCAGTATAACTGTTTAGAAGTACAATTGAGGGTTATTATTACAGCCCCAGAAAACGCAGACACAATTCTCTACCAATAGCGCAAACATTTAAACTCTCCATACTTTTTTAGCGAGGTAATTAAGTTTTAGTTTATAATAAACGTCATATAAAATTTACTTTTATGAACGCAATCAATACAAAGAGAGCAAAAATTACTACGTGCACGTCATCCATTTGCCTACACAACGCTTAATATCTTAGTAAATACCTACAGTGTAATGATTCTAAGAAATGAAACTTCCATAACTAATTAACTTTATCATTTTTATTTTCACAACTTAGAAAGCGAGTTAATAAATGAACCAATAAAATAAAACGTGAGAAAATGTCAGAAAATAAAATTTACTTTAAACGAAGCAATCGTTTACAGACACGCGCAAAATCTATTGACGTAAACAGTCATACTGTAGTTCTTATTTGATGTTCGCATAACACCTCATGAAAACTTATCGCTGCTATTTGTTCGCTAGACACACATCATAATCTGGCGCTGGTTTTAGTCTTTCTTCAGGACCATTAGAATTGGAATAAAAACTGCGTATAAAGGTTGGTATAAAAAATATTCTTTACGGTATTCTTTATGAGTAGGAATGAATATTAAAACACGGCAAAAGAAACGTGCATCTATCGGGAATATTCCTAGCGCTTTGATTATACCAATAAAAAAACCTGTTAGTTTATAAAAAAAGCCTAAATCAGAAGAGAAGAAATGCGTCTTGTGATTTTTGAAACGTCAATTTATCAAACGCTACACGTTTACGAAAGAGGCAAGCATATTGTGGACTTGCGTACGGACGTTATAGGTGATAATGCGGCAGCCACACCGAAAAGGTATGTGATACATCACGTAGTAGGAGGACTTGGAAGTGTGCTGATATCGGTTCTTATCCAAAAATTGCTTCCTGCTTCGAGATCGCCTGGTCTACACTTCATGTACTTGTTTGAAGAGCTAAGCACTGTTTGACTTGGAACCCTGCCAACTCGCTTATGACGCACCCACAATACGGCTGAATCTTAGCAACATATAGGATTTTGTCAATCTATTGTGTTCATTCTTCTGTTTTTCCCACTACTTAATTTGTACTGTGTTGTTTAATATAAAATAAAGCTCGGAAGTTTATACCGACCCTGGTAAAGTAGCGTAGTTCTATTAAATGCTAATTTTGCACAAAATTATTGCGGAGATTAATTTGTAGGGTGCCTGGAGAGTTAAGAGTATATCCTATGCGAAGCGCAAGTTCGTCTACTTTTTGCGCCGGGGTTGCGATGATGCCAGAACGACCAGCTCTTATTGGCTGATCGAAAAGAATAGTGGGTAAACCTCAAAACATCCAGCACGGAGGTCTACTCACTATCCTGTCAGTCAAAGCCAATCGGAGCTCGGCGTCGTTCTGACGTCACCGCAACTCCTGCGCAAGAAGCAGACGACTTGCTCCCCGCATTGCAATACCGTAAAACACAATGCGCTTTTGTGTGTATATCACGCTAAGGTCTTAACCACTTTAACCAATTTTGAATTATGCGACAAAGAAAAAAAAAAAAAAAAAAAAAACGACGAAAAGCGATTTTGAAAAAATTGCCTAGTTTTTTTTGTTCCATAGTAGAAACGTTATCATGATGACAGCGCTCATTCACCATAATTATACATAATTTACTAGGACCTTTTTGGAGATAGAGATATATTGAACAATTATTTGTTAAATACCATTTTTATAAGCAGGTAGTTCAGACTACAAGGGCAGATAATTCAGCGTAAGGACATGTATAACTTTACAGTAAAAAAGAAAAAAAGGGTAAATTGAAGCCAAGATGCGACCTCACTAGACAGTGCTACCTAATGTTTTATGGGCGGCGGGGGAAAAGCTCACCGGAGAAAAGCTCACCGGAGAAAAGCTCACCGCAGATAAGCTCACCGGAGAAAAGCTCACCGCAAAACCGGCAGATGCGAAAAAAAAGCTCACCGATTTTTTTTTTTTATCTTAGCGGATTCTGCGTTTAGAGGCAATTTAACACAATTCGCATTCGCCACTTCATTTAAAAAAAAAAGAATATATGTCCTCTTTCTTGTAATATTCTTGAAGGTCATTGGGCCTATTTACTAATTCCTCAGAAATTAGTAATCACCCATTCTGTATAATAATGAAGCCGCAAAAATGTTATTAAAACATCGAACACTGGTAAAAAAAGACAACAATTTATTGACATCTGAGGGTGCGCCGTCGGTAGCTTTGTCAAATAAAGAGGTTTGTTCTTTGTGAGCTAATATGAATAGCGGTGTGTGAACCGTTTCAGCTCCAAATATTCTGTAGTGCCTAATAGTTAAGTAGGTATTTGTTGATGCAATCAGTGTCGGCTACGCTGTTTTCTTTCTGTTAATTTCAATAAGAAAACTTTAGTTGCGGGAACAGCTTCGTCCTGTCGTGTTTGCTGTCTTCACTCGTTCGTCGTCGTTTGAGCGGTTTTCATCATGTATAACGTTCACCAACTCGCCCTATTCGCTACCTTACAAAAGACTATTTCTTATATAGGTCACGAGTAACAACGGTGCCAGCGTGTAGCTCTGAAAGTCATGAGTGGCTCACCTTAGAAGGGCACTATCACACAAAGGCAACGTGCGGAAACACCAGCACGAACGGCTAGAAAACGTGCATGTCCGTGTAAGAAAGAAGCCTCAATATCCTACTGACTGTTTTATCCTGTTTTCAAAGGTTAATAAAAAGCTTCAAAGAGATTTTCAGGCACCGCGTTGTTGCGCATGCACTTTCGGATTTTCGGTGTTTACAGTTTTGATTTTTAGGTTTTAGGGAGACATAAGTTTTCGAACTTTTTCATGTTATTCAAGTTCATAAAATTTTCAGTTAGGCTTTAGTTGCCTAGAGCAGTGGTTCTCAGCCATGGATGTCTCGGGGACCCTTTGCGGACCGCTGGCAGTGATGGGGGACCCCTTCCAGCGGGGGGGGGGGGGGGGGGGGGGGGGGGGGAGGGGGGGGGGACATTAGTAAGTTAACACATCTGGAGCATGAAACAGGTGCCTTTTCTTGCTACGTAGCAGAAAAACACAGAACAAAGGTGCCACATCACTTCATTCTGGTCAGTTCATCAATACGTGGCACACTCGCGCTTCAAACCACAAAAAACGTGCCAACTAAAAAAAAATAAAATTTGTTGAGGGTCTCGCGGACCTCAGAATTGGCTTCGCGGACCCCCTGAGGTCCGCGGACCCCTATTTGGGAACCACTGGCCTATAGAGTAAGCCACAGAAAAAACTGGCCCGCCATTATTAATTTGGAAGCGATATGCTGAATAAGCATGGCAAATAATACAAAAAGGACATTTTCTTTTTGACAAAGCTGACGAACTTTAATGATAATAAATTGATATATGTTACGCATGATCCAACAGCCTCTATATAACAAGAAGGAAAAAAAATCGGTGAGCTTTTCTCCGCATCCGCATGTTTTGCGGTGAGCTTTTCTCCGGTGAGCTCATCTCCGGTGAGCTTTTCTCCGGTGAGCTTTTCTCCGGTGAGCTTATTTCCGGGATTCATGTTTTATACATACAAAGTTTATCTCATGTTAAATTTACTACAATGCCTTGAGAGGTGTTCCAGTTGAAATCGTCTCCAAAAGAAAAAAATTCTGATACCCTATGCACGCTCTTCTGGACAAAACACTTTTTTTTAATTTTTACAAATAACCAGCTATTCAAAACCCTCAATTAAGAATGTGATTGTGCGTAGTTCGCGTGAAAGAAGTGAAGTACATATAGTCACATGATCCCGGGATCACGTGGAAAAAAAAACTGTTTGATGTTGCATTCTTTTCAGGTTTGGCAGCAAAGCTCGGGGCGGACGAGGAAGTCTGCCTGCTGCACTGACCCTCTGTTTTCGAGTTCAAACTACTTACAAAATTGCTGTTCGTAAAACGCAGAAAAACAAGTTTTTCCGAGGGTGGCATGCTTTAAAAACCGGAAGGCGAGCCGTCGGCAAAAGCGTCCGCGTATGATACGAAGAATGCGTCCCCTTATATGGTCACGGAACTATGAATGGTTCTCCAAACCCATAAAACTGCACGAGCGGTCGCGATAGTTGTAATCTTATCTTTGTTCCAGCATGAGGTATTTTGCTCTCTAAAGACCTTCACGCTACTCCGAGGTTTCGTACGGCAACGACTTCGACTCTGAACCTGTGTCTTGAGCGGATACTACAGCCTGGCTATAAAAGCCGAAAGACGTCAGAACCTCTTACCGTGGCACCTGTTATGACAGCGTCGATGGTTCGCCTTCAAGTACATTCTGAGCTGCGGAATCAACCTAGACTGAGGTAAGATAAACATACTCTTGGTTCTACTAGCGTTCATTTTGAGAGATTCGGGAAAAAGTATACTGCTCAGGGAGCGAAAGTATGCAGGCGAGCTAGTTAGGGCACATCATAATATGAACCCCGAGAAACGGAGAAATAAGAAAACGGACAAGACGCATGTCTCCTCGGTAGTTAATTTCTTTTACCTCATGTACCTGTACTCCTCAAGAAATGATTGATTGATTGGATTGATTCCTACAAAAATGAATTTGTCACGGCATAGTTATTCCTGTAATGCTATTCTTTGGAAAGGGCTATTAAGTGTACTACGATCGTTACTCGCCCCCTCACCTTATAAACGATTCTCAGAGAAAGTGATAGAATATATGACAATATGAATTATGAATTATGTAATTATAACCAATTTTAGATTATTATTATTTGTTGTGTTACATAATAATACCTCGTGCGTTTTTGTTTTTGATGCTCATATATTTGTTTATGATTTAATTTGGTCATTTGATCTGTTCTAAACTAATCTTGTTTAAGACATCAGGTACAAAAGACAGCCCTCTGACTTTGTTCAGAGAGTACACAATGCAACAGAATTTGACGGTGCCAATCGGCAGATAAATATCGCATGAAAAACGGGGTTACCTAGGGTACAACACAAACCCATAAACGTATTGCTCCCAAAGTAACACCTGTGTCGAGTACTTTTGATTATACGTGGCACAGTGTTTTCTGATCAATATTCCTCGTGAATTGCATCTAAAATGAAAAAAGCGCAAAAACATAGTTATGAGTGTGACTTGAATAATTGGAGTACCGGCGACCAGCGAATAATATCACATTTACGTATAATTTTATTTAAAACCACCTTGTGAATTTTCATAGGTGCATACTCTGATATTAAAAGTTATTACGTTGTTAGCACCTGACCTACACATATATCATGGACATGTATTTAGTTTGGGATGGCACTCGCTTTAACAGTCGAAGGCGGGTTTGTCTCCAGGTCTTTCCAGCGACGTTCGTAACAAGTTATTGTGTCGTAGAATGCACTACAATCATAGGCTGGTTTTAATGGAGCTATGCGCCGCAGAAAACGTCGTTTTTCTCTTCACTAATATATTTATCTATAACAAACAAATGTCCGGAATGAGACTTTATTTTAACAAAATGAAGGTGGCAGAACACGGTGTTAAACATTGAGTGATTAGTAAAATAGTTTATATAATCGCACCAAGAAGCATGTTGCTGAGGGAAATTTGCGCGTCTGAAAAGATCCCGACAGCGCCCTTTCTAGGCGCGTACCGTTCATTCATACACGTCCACTAAAGCGACCTACCGCAAACAAGCCACGGGCCTCCAACGCTTACCTAACCGATGTGTCACGGAACAGCCCTTCTTCGTCACACAAAATGAAGCAAACCTGACGCCGTTTATAGTGAAAATGTTTGCCAAGGGGATTGCGTTCCCTAAGTGCGATTGCAGTCGTCAGAGAACAATAAAATATAGATAAATGCAATAACACGTGCAGAATGACGAAACTGTATTCTTGACATTTCTAGGTCTACTTTCCTCAAGGATATTACATATCAATAATGCAACTCTTACAAAGACAGAATATTGCGCGGTTGCGTTGCTTGCTCAACATTCGTCAGATCCCAAGCCGCTTACGTCAAAGATTAATCTTTTTTTTTTGTCTTAAAGAAAGTAGGGAAAAGGATTATGTAAAGCAGTGTTCAAGTTTGCTTTGCTGCCTCGACTAAAGGAATATACCTCCTTTCTACATCTCTGCTGGCATTGCAAGGTGACTTTTGCATTAAAGTAGAACCTGAGATCCTAAGGTAACTCCGCAAGAGGGAGGTGAGTTGTGTGGTTCTGGTCACTTTTAACCAACGTATTAACGAGTAGCCATGTTCTGAAATTTCCGCTCTCATACGTAAACTATGAGAAACAGAAGGCTTACAATTGGAGATTAATAATTAATCAGTTGTCGCGGTACACGATCTGCAGATAGATTTCGCTGAAGGCGAAAATCCCTGATGTTTTTATTTTGATAGATTAGAGATTAGTTTGCATAGATATATAGATATAGCCGAAACGAGAACTAGCACGAATATAGTAAATGTACAGAATGTTCTTATTATGAGTGCAGATAATGTGCATTAAGATAGACTAGTTGTGAAAAAGTTAGGTGTTGCGTTGAGGCTCTCTAATCAATAAATTAAACGCGTTAAGCATTGCATTCAAATAACTTGCATTTAATAAACATGGTTATTCATATTAGTCGAGTATTGTTAGGACTTTCAGTCCAATTTAGTTTAATTCGGAGAGCAATACCAGACACTAAACACCACGTCTTTTGATATGGTACAAAACCATATCACAGAGATTGATTCCACGTAGATCTAGTTTAGGCATGTTCGAGAACCAAAAAATGCATCCTCAATTTAACAGTTCCAAAAAATATTTGTCCCTGGTAGCGTACGCGCCTTAATTTTTCAGGAATATTTTTATACCAGAGTGTGTTCTGACATTTAATAAACCTTATATCACCAGTATCGATGTTTAGGTTTGTTACAAAATTCAAATTTAAATGGAAATAAACAGGACAAGTTGAATTACCTTATTCGGCTAGCCGCGTGCCATTTTAATCATGAAACGGGCACCATTATGTGATTTTCAATTACTGGAACCTATAAAGTGGGAACCTCTTGATTAAGTTAAAACCAGACACGTATACGAAAGTACATGACGACCATAACTTGTGCTTTGTAAAGCAAGTGAACAAAATGGATAAAAGAGCCGTGTTTTTAATGAAATCAAATGAGGGTGTGTGCGCATGCGTGCCTGTGTTTGTAACCTTTGTGAGAAATCACATCACATGTTTATTTGTTACACGATGATATTAATTTTGATTAAGTCTATTGTTCTTGTAGGCCTATCGGGTTATAGCTCACTGCGTATTTTATTCAAGGTCGAATAGGCAAACCTGAATACTGGGTTTTGTTATGTCTTACTTGATCTATTATGTGCATCTTTATCATAATGTATTTTTGTATTATAAATTTATTACATTATTTCGTTTACGTTTCATAAATACGTTTACAATGCGGAGATCAGTGAAATTACTGCCATGTTCCTCAGTTCAGCGTTCTGTGCTTAAGCGTCGTAGATATTTTTAGATGAGTTTTGCAGGCTTGATTCATTTTATTCTTTTTATTCTTTTCTTTATCTGTACTCTCACCAACAAAATAAAGGAGGCTTTAGATTTGAATGCCAATGTATGTGTACAAAAAAAGCATCAACGCATATACATTAGTTACTTTGATAAATTGCCTGATTGATGAACCTGTTCGTTAGGGTGATTAAAATATTTTGTTTTCCTTCAAACTTTACAGAGCCTTGAATCGCGTTGGTCTCTTGGTCTCTGGAGGTTTTTCCGTCGGTTCAAAGAATGCCCTCGTTTGAAGTGACGGTCCGCGATTTCCCCGACTTGAAAGATCGCACAAGGATTCTACTACAGTGCAAACCTCCGGAAGGGGCATCTTGCCTCCGCTGCGGAGATCTTGCTGGCATCTCCTGGCAAGCGACTTGTGGACACAGTTTCTGCAACGACTGCAAAGACGTGCTGACAAAGAGCCACGTCCTAACGTGTCCAGTGCATTTCAGTCAGACGCCCAAAGCCTCGGTAAGAATCCATTTCGTGGCTGCACTGGAAGGGTGAACTTCAGATTTCGCGGTCCCTTCGAACCCTATATTTGCTTGAATTGTGAGTTAGTGCAAAGAAGCCTGCAAACGTCGCGGAGCCTTACAGAATCTTGAAAAACTATGTTGTTGTGGACTTACTTTTAATAATAACACTCCGTTTTTGTAACATTGTAGCGAGCCGCGTCTATCAGAACTAGCAAAAAAAAAACTAAACAAAAATGTATGATCACTTGTACACGCGTCCGTCATAAACACACATGGCGACTAAATATATGCAACAACTCTACTAATTTACGTCACGCCGCGGTGATGGCGCTTCCGGCGTTCTTCCTGTATGGTGTTGTAGGCGGGAGTCGCCATGTGGGACGGGCATTCATGTGTTGTTTTAGAAGAAACCCAATTACAACTTGTTTTCTCGTCAAAATGCCTCAACTGGGGCTGTACCAAAAAAGCCGGGAAAGATGCAAAGTTTCATGTGTTTTCTGCCTGCTCGGTTCGTCCGAGAACGTGAATGGGATAGGACATGAAAAAAGAAAAAAATAGACACTGTCAGACCACGATTGCTTCTGCGTGAAGCACATTGCGTTGAATTCAGAAATACTTGTGATCGTCAGATTTGTTTGCTTTGTTCACACATTAATGCGGGAAAACCGTCCAGTTGTTCAGACCACTTGCGATTCACGTTCAAACGGTCGTCTAATCGTTGAAACTACGTCTACTTTCTTAAACTATTCTGCTTGTTCAAACTGTCGTCTGCTCGCTCAAACGACAGCAATCCGTAGACGAAACGTTGACCTGGTAATCGCTATAGGAAGTAGGTGCATGCCTCAAAGGACTAAGTTTGGAGGTTGCTTGCGGTAAATAGGTTCGGTGTAAACAGTAGATACAAGGATATGTTGAACATTTTTACCGGTGGCCGTTATCGACTTGTTATGCCTTTTTCCATGGTCCGATTCTGCTTGCAATGTTCAGCATCAACATCAGACGTAGCAGCTATACCATGCACCCTTTCGTAACCTGAACGATGTAGCGACTGAAAATAGCAAGCATAATCTGATCATACGAATTAGGCTTCAGCGTCCATTCTGCGGCGTTCACAAGGAATGAATCGCCGCACGTCACATTATTTTTGCAAAACTTTGGGGTGTAAAGAGCCTTGTTAATTTCGCTCCGGCCACTAAAGTAGTATGAAATAGCTAAGAAGACATTGTAGCAACAATTCCGACGCGGAAAAGATCACGTGGTTTCAAACCGACCCCCAAAATATCACATTTCAATGATTCGTTGATACGGCAGGGCGCGTTTCTCGCAACAGTCCACCGCGCATGCGCGGCGCCAGTGGCGTGCCGCAAGGGGCGCTCCGGTTTATTTTTACACACCAGTTGGTGTATAGAGGGTAGACATGCAGCATTGTTTAGACAAAGCCTATATACGAATGAGAGGCAAAAGTTGAGCGCGTGTAAGTATTGAATTATTTTACAGCTCAAACGTACAGACAGAGGAATACAGGAAACGAAAGACAACACAGCAGTGTGTGCTTGGGAAGGCTGCCGCGCCTCGGGAACTCTTCAGTTTATCCTTGTAAGTCAGTCAAAACATTTTCGCCACATCACTTGGTGGTACTGATTCGATTTATGAAATATTGAGAAGGGATCCCTAATCATTTCCAGCCAATAAAATTAAAAAGAGATGGTACGTGATTCTGAAAGTTAAGTTATATTCCAACAAAACAGAAGCCAGGGAGGAAAGAAGCGTAGTTTAGTACGGTACTTTGTTCGGCTAGCTGGTTCATCTTGGTAAAACATAAAATAGTGCAAAAAAGACAAGAACAAGAAGTATACAGGACAGGCGCTAACTTTCAACTGGTTTTATTCAGGAAAAGCAAACATATTTATACACAGGACAGGCAAAGCAGCACCACGTAAAATCTGTTTAATCTTTTACCCGAACATTCAAAAACTGAAACTCATTACTATGAAGTACGATAGAAGTATCGCTGACACATGCCGTCCCACTTTTTTTTAAATAAAAAATTCTTCCAATAGCCCTCGAGCAACCGTCACTCGGCTTCTCCCCAGGATCCTTATCTGCTGAAGTCACGGAACACAGCCACACGTGTCGCAATGTATAGACAAATGCGAGCCATATTTATTTTTTACTGATCATGCGTGCTCCCGTGCTCGGTCATTGATGCACCGACCCATCTGGCCGATGTATACCTTTCCACAACTTAGTGCGATTTCGTAAACTACACCCACTGTGCAGTCCATGTAAGCAGTGACGTGTTTCTTGTCACATGGTGCTTTTGCCCTTTTATCAGAAATGCGGGAGCACAACCCAGCCAACTTCTTTGGGGCAGAGAACACAACGGGAACATCGTGCTTGCTTGCGACTTCCTCCAGATTGTGGGCAGCCTTGTGGATATACGGAATAACTTCTGGTCTTTTTGTTCTCTGCCTCGTTGGGGCCTTCCTTTTTAACGCCTTCATTTTTATTTTGTAGGGCGCTCTCCGCCACAGAAACCAAGACCGAACGCGGGATGAAGTTGAAGAAGTTGGTTGGGTTGTGCTCCCGGCATTTTTGATGAGAAGGCAAAAGCACCATGTGACAAGAAACACGACGCCCCTTACGTGGACTATACAGTGGGTGTGGTCTACGAAATCCCACTGAGTTGTGGAAAGGTATACATCGGCCAGACGGCGCGGTGCATCAATGACCGAGCACGGGAGCACGCATTATCAGTAAAAAATAAATATGGCTCGCATTTGCCAACACATTGCAGCACGTGTTGCTGTGTTCCGCGACTTAAGCAGATAAGGATTCCGGGGGGAAGCCGAGAGACGGTCGCTCGAGAGCTGTTGCGAGCATTTTTTATAAACAAAAATTGGGACGCCCTGTGTCAGCGTCAATATTATTGTACTTCATAGTAATGCGTTTCAGTTTTTGGATGATGGGGTAAAAATTAACCAACTTTTACGTGGTGCTGCTTTGCCTGTCGTGTGTATATATATGTTTGCTTTTCCCGAATAAAACCAGTTGAAAGTTAGCGCCTGTCCTGTATACTTCCTGCCCTTGTCTTTTTTGCGCTATTGTATATGTTTTACGAAAGAAGCATAATATTATAGGCGCATAGAACATTCATTTTTTATAAAGGCTTCGAAGTAATAGGTGTAAAGCTACAAGCTAGAATTGATAAATATTCAGTAGAGTCGATTGTTGGGCTAGTTGGTTTTGGAATTTGGAATACATTTTAGCGCTCAAAAAACAGGGACAAAGAGGCAAAGAGGCGGTTGTTGGCAGCTGGCTTCCCGAAGAATGTAGTGGTCTCAGTTGCAGAGATCGTATTAAAAAGATTGCGTAGTGAAGATCGCCCTTACCCAATGGCTCTCAGAGATAAACAGAAGGTCGCGGTGATACCGTACATTCACAAAACGGCGCATGGCTTGAAAAAGGTGGCCAATAGATCAAACGTGAACGTAGTGTTTTCCGCACCAAACAAACTTAGTAGATTATGTAGGATGACAGATCCTTTTCGTAAGGCCCCTTCTGGCTGCGCGGTAAAACGCAGGGATCCCTTCGTTGAATGTGCGGAGGGAGTAGTATATCAGATCCCCTTATCATGCGGAAACAAGTATATAGGTCAGACAGGTAGGTGTGTTAATGATAGGCTGAGGGAGCACAAACTTAAAGTAGGAAATTATCGGGACGGTCATCTGTCTGATCATTGTGAAAAGTGCAAGTGTATGCCGTTGTTTTCCGAGAGCAAGATTCTGGCACGGCACAAGGAAAAAACTGTGAGGGAGATAATCGAGGCAGATGAGATTAGGAAGGGTGGTGCAGCATGTGTCAGCGTGGCCTCAATTGATTTACTGGACAAGGAGCGTGCGTTCCTCAATGACGCGGCCTGGCACCGGGTTGGCTAGTGACGGAGCAAAATCAGAAACTCGGATGGTATAAAAGTGTTGTTTCACGTAATAAAATCAGTTGTTAGTAGCGCACTGTGCTGTCTGTTTCTCGCCTCTTTGTCCCTGTTTTTTGAGCGCCAAAATGTATTCCAAATGATAAATATTCTTGCATTTCCCTTCTCTGCATCTGGTATGCGATTAAATATGTATATATATATATATATATATATATCTGTCTAAAAGAATGGCGTAATTAACCTAAACGCATTCACAGGAAAATGGTCGAGTCTTAGCCGATTTGTATAGAAAAGTTTTGCCTTCAACATTTTCTGATCCCCTTTTAAAGAACCAGTTTGGAACCTCTTGCGCCTCAGCTATTTCATTTAATAAATTTATATAGCTTACATAGCTACCTGCCATAAAACCACATATATGGAAGTCGTTAACTATCCAACACAAGCCGTACAAGATAAATGGCTTTTCACAATTTTTACTGAAATATTATTTTTGTAGTTCTTGTGTTTTGGTTATATATTTGCGTTAAATATTTCACAGAAACATTGTGAACACTGTCCAAAGAAGCCTCGTCTGCGCAGAAACTATTCCTGGCAGTGTTCTCAGGAGGAGGTTGAGGTAAGGGGCAACGAATGTATTTCATATGTAAGGAGTTTCGTGACGATATATGTAGAAGTATCAAGGAAATAGGTCATTACAACTTCCTGTGTTTATAAACTTTCACCAAATAAAGAAACGTTTCATTACCACGTTAGCATGAAGCGAGAGTAGCAGTAGTTTGAGATCTTAATTTCGATCCTAAATGCTTTATTACACAGCACGGCGTGTCTGCAAAATCTATTTAGTACCAAGGAGATTATTCGAGTGGTTGTGTTCTTCAGAGATATGTCAAATCTGCGAACATTGGCACTAAACATGCTTACACATATGTAGCGCTCAAAATACCGTTGAAATTTCAAACTAATAAGGCAGGTTTACCTGAATTGCTGCAATGTAGGCATTCATAACTGCTTCTCTTAATAACCAATGTCTGTATCACATTTGCAGGACAATTTGCACAACGGTTTGGTGAAAATCGTAAAACCCCTGTCTCCGACGTCGCCCAAATTTGACGTGAGCTATTTTTGTTAATTCTCATACACTATTCTCTTGGGGTTGTTTCTTATTTTGAATTTTATTCGTTTTTAATTGTCCAATTTTTGATAGTAACTGATTTGCCTCAAAATAGGTTCAGCACATGTCTAGACAGATCTGAACTAGCAACCCAAAATTGCGAGTTACAAAAATTGTTTTCTCGCAAAATCATTGAAGTTTTAAATTTAGTCCGAGAAGGCTGAGACGCTCTACTGGCGACAATGAAAACGTGACGTCAGGTCGAATATGCAGCGACACGGGGGCATATACCAGCTTGTTCTGGACCGGTTACAAGAAGTTTGTTAGTTTGAAAATAAAATAAACTATACTCACGTCATCAAAAAAAAAAAAAAAAAAAAACGAAAAGACGCGCAAAATAACGTGTTTTTAGACTGCATGCTTGACTTGCAGCAAGTTATACATGATTAGACGTCACTCAACTTGACAGGGCGGAAAAATTTGAATTATGGTTTTGGTATCACCTTCATTTGCCGGTTTCTCAGTAGCTATTTTGAATTCAGAAGTAATAAGCAACGTGCCGGAAATTGTAAAGCTTGGGTATTCCGTAAATGTGTTTCGTTTAGGAAGCAAAAAAACTGCCGGAGTTTAGTTGGGGAGGTCCAAAACTGCATTTAAAAAAAGTTACGCTTCTTCCGAAATATTTAGATGGTGCGCAACACAGCTAAAGCAACCACGACTATACCGCATTTTCACAATTTACACAAGGATGGAACTGCCGGGCACAAACTATTTAATACTTCGGCCTGCGCCACAAATGATCACTTTCTATCACACCTGGCGATTTCTTCTGGCGTTATCTGTGTCGCGCCATGCAATCCAACCCTGTGCAAATTACGAATAGAGCAGTCAGGTTTGTGCTAGGTCGGTATGGGTGGGGAGAAAGTTGCACTGAGATAAAACGCGAACTGAATTGCGAATTACTTTCATCTCTAAGAAAGAAGTTGAGATTAAAATTTTAATTTTTCATTTCCATTAATAAGAGTGGTATTAAAAACGAAAAACATTTCAAACTGCCGCGTTATGTTTGTAGGCGAACTTATCGTTCGTTTAAAATCGAGAAGTATCACGCCCAAACCAAGCAGTATGCAAATTCATACTATGTCAAATTTCGAAACCACTCCAAAGTATAATCGGCCGCCAAAAGATAAAGCCTGCTGCACAAATTATTAGTTTTTGTGCACTCTAACCCCACTGTTTAAACGACCACGGACAGTGTGGGGTAACCTTTGAATAAATAATAAAAAAATAAAAGTTAATTTAAATAGAATATAAAAAAAATTGTGAAGCCATGATTATTATGGTAGAATATTCAACCTCCGTTTCAAAACCTTGAAGGTAATGTAGAAAAGTGCCCTATATGCGGTTCAGAATTGCTTTTATTACTGGTTTACAAGATCATTTAGATCATGCACACGCATGTTTTGTGCACCTCTCCCCGCGCCCCCAGAAAATTAAATGTGACGCAGAGGCGGATTTTCTTGTCAGGCTTGTGGTGGGACTTCACGGGGGGGGGGGGGGGGGGGGTGCAGACAGATCTGACGTTACGGCCGAAGTGTTGCCAAGATCTATCTTGTTGTCCTAATATTGGCAATTGCACCAAAAACTACATATATTTTCTAAACATAATTGGATGTATGCCTTTTTCTTTATAAAAAATTCAGTTTGGTGGGCCTTGAGAAAAGGTAGCGTGAGGGGAAGGGAGGTCGCCTCTTCCCCCCCCCCCCCCCTCCCCCTGTCCCCCACGTCCTTTGTTTTTAAGTCAGGCTCTGATCTGGCGCGGCTGTGTAAATAAAAACTAAACTTTTAGTACAGCGGTCTGAAGAGGAACGAAACATTCAAAGAGAAAAAGGCCAAGGTGCTCCGGAGAATAAAGTCACAATGTAAAGGAGAGAATACAAATTTCTCTACAAACAAGATGAAATACAGACCATGTGCCATTATAGAAAAACAAATGTAAGAAATCTAATATCAAAATGCTATACCTCGTCATTCCTTGCACCGATTTGTGACGTTTTATATTATATTTATGTTGTAATGTGATTCCCCAATGTGGCGCCAAAATTCGACACCCTAAAAAGTGATTTCATTGGTTTCTGAAAATTTTAAATACTTCATCATGCGATTTAGATAATGAAGAAAAATCTTTACTTTTAATTTACGGTTATTGCTGCGGTTGTATCTCTTTGATAAATAAACCCTTAGAAATGTTTCTTTACACCAAGTGATACCCATATAACTAAGGATGGGTACTTTAGCATTCTTACTGCGAGCCTAACTTATGTTTTATAATTACTTTCTTTCACAGGTGACTCACCCGTTGGAGTTTGCGATGGGGTTTCATGGCTCTAGCCCATAAGGTCATGAAACGAGGGCACAGAATAAAGCATATCGCTCAAGTTAAGGCCAATTTTTTTAAAGTTTTATTCGAGTTTCATTTCTCTGTCTTTTACAACAAAATCTTCAAGGATATGACGTATTAAGACCAACATGGGACCATATAACTGTCACAAAGGAAGTGTGCGGTTTTTTCGCTTACTCTTGTTAGCATCAGTCTTTTGAAATTGTAGGCTCCTCGGTGGCGCCACCGTTCAGTGGCCACCAGGGTGCGCTCTGGTGCGCGCCACACAACGTACCGCGTGCGCGAACTACGTGGAACAAAGGGGCGTTGCGCGGACAATGACACACGGCCAGCAGAGGTGGCACCGCTCATACTTCGCAAGAGGTGATTCTGCACATACCAAATCCTGTGATACGCAAAGGAAAGCATATATATTTTCTGAAAGGTGATTTACAATATCTGACCTTCGCTAGGGAAACCGATTTGCGACAGAACATACTGCATATCCATTAAAGCCCTAAACACCTTGTATGCCAATTTTTTTCTCGTAGAGTAAGCTGTTGGGTGTTACTTTTCACGCATTCAGCATTCAATAAAAAAGATTTCATCCGTCGTAAAGTAAGCGGTGTTATAAGCCGAGGGGCTGTAAACGAGGCAGAACAATTGGCGGCTTCATGTGATGGACATTTCCTTCCAGATAGAGAACGATCATATTGGCGGTTTTTACCCTTTAAAGATAAAATGAAATATAATTAAACCCTCGTTTTTCTCCAGTGGAGTAGGCGACAGAAAAAAAAGTCACTGTAGCGACCTGACACTGCCTCTGCTTAAAGGCATACCCTTGTTATTGTAAATAAAGGCCACGAAAGATAGGAACAAAAACAATCTTTGCGCAGGTTGCGCGTGGGCATACGTGACGTGAGTAATTACGGGGTGAGGAGAAAAGGCGGAGAGCAAGGCGGGGGGGCTCCCGCCACCTCATCGCGCCTTGTGTGGCAAAAGCAGTCCCCGTAAACCACGTGATATCGATCGACAAGTTGCAAGCACTCCCATATCCACGTTTCCTACCCGAGAGCCGTGCCGGTGGAGCCATCTCTCGAAAGACGCAGCAAATACTCGGCAATCGTCGTTTCTTTCGACCAAAAATATGAGGTACGTTTGCGCGATTTATCAACGCAGGCTTAACAGAACAAGAGTACCGAGACATGTGGCGTCTGTACTCTACCGAAAGTCGTATTAAATGACTATTCATCGTGGGAATGCCTATGAAACGTTATGTGCTCAAACTGACCATTGTTAGAATAATATGCCTCGTGATATATGTAAATGATGTAAACACTTGTTATTAAATCAAAAGTACCGACTATCTTAAGGTATACTACTCTTTGAATGTCGGCGCAAGGGCGTTTGAACGTTATACAAAAACATTTGAAGGTAAAGAACACATAAAAAAAGTTCTGCAAGTGCGCAACCCCCCACATCAAAGAACTATGATGTGACAATCGGATCTCAATCTTACAGTATACAATTCGTGTGCGCGTGTGTGTGCGTGCATATCTGTGCGTGTGCGTGCATGTGTGTGTGTGCGTGCCTCCATGCGTGCGTGCGTCTTTCTCCCTGTGTTGGTGTGCTCGTGTGTTACTTCACTAATTATTACTGCGATAGCAGTTAGTGGGGCACTTTGCGGGTTTTGTGCAGTCGACCGTGCTCCATATCGACGCGGGCCAGTTTCGTCACTCCGCCAAAAGGTTCCACATTGACGTCACGCCGCGCATCACGTCACCTAGGTGATAATAATCCCCAAAAAAGGGGAGCCGGGGGGAAGGGGGGGGGGGGGGGGGGGACAAAGGACACATAGAAATCTCCAAACGCTGCAAGGTATAGGTGAGTAATGCGCTCTGAAGGACTCAGCCTGGTCCTGGTATCGAACCAGGGACCTCTCCATTTCCAGTGGAGCGCTCTAGCGACTGACCTAACCAGGAGCCAGACGTCAAATGAGCAAACGGGTTTTAACAGCTGGCGCAAGTCTAACACCAACAAGGGTGAACTACCAGCATTTTAAGGTCATGATGTTAGTGCAATTAACCCAAAGTTGCAGGAGAACTGGACAGAATAAACGGTCGTTTATTCTGTCCAGTTCGCCTGCAAATTTGCATAATTGTATTAATACGTCACCTGTTACCAGGCGTCGGTTGACACCACGACCTGACATTGTAATGTCAAGTCACGTTGCACAGTGACGCCTCGCGACTGAACGACATCAGGTGATATCGTGAGTCACGTGATGCCATGACGTAATGTGACACCATGACGACACATACAAAGATAAACATAAAACTGCTGATAATGGCAACAATAAAAACAAAAGCGTTTTTGCTAATTATGCCAGAAAGGTACTCGGGTGATACAACGAATAAAGCTAGGTGGGTGTTAAGCCGGCGAAACCACGGTCGTGAAATTAGGTGGAGATACATGCTTGAAACGTGAGAGCGCGATTTCGGAAGTGTTCTTCAGTGATCACAAGGCGATGTTGTTCTGTGTTCAATAACATTGCATAAGACGTTCAGGCAGCCACACCAACGACAGGAAACGGTTCATGCACACACATGCGGTTTTGTCGTACCCTGGATTTCAAACTTTGGAGTGCAATTTTTAAAGTGTTCTTTAATTACCACAAGGCAGTCCTAGTTTGTGTTCAATAAAATTTTTAACAGGCTCACGATATGCTTTCTACTGAATACACCCTTATTGGTTTTAAAACACTATAGAAATTTTTTCTGGTGTATTACTCGGTTTAATACGAAACACCTATGCGGACACCGTGGTGCACTCTAAAAGCAATATCCGTTCTTGAAAGGTTCTTTGACGTCTTAAGAACTCTTCGAGCTTGTAAAGAACGGTTTCGTCTGAATCGCTATTCCTACTTGGCGCACTAGAAATGCGACGGGGCAATGAAGAACTCTTTCGCATCAAAAATGGTGGTTAAAAGATTCCCTCATAGGTTTTTCCCAAAGAACCCTTGTAAAGGGTGTTTAAAAAATAATTTTTAGGGTGCAAAAAATGGACAAGCCGAAAAAGCCTTACGAGTTCTTTTATGAAATGTTTTTACAGTGTGCGCGCTGGCACATTTACCTTTCATTCAGTTTATCTGCTCCGAAATAACACCTCAGCGTCTGCAACGCAACACCTCAGCTGTCAGTGTTTCACCTTATGGACAGCGCAAGTGTTTACCAATTTCTTATTTCGTAGCGGGTACAGCTCCATGTGCCTACGTGGCATAGGGCCTCTTACCCGTTACCGCTTGTGCCTACGTGGCACGTGGCCTTTCTACCGTTATCCGGGCTTCATAAACAAAATAAACCATTATACAGCAGAACATAGCGATTCGAATAGAAAAAAAAAAAGACCACGTTCAGCACTCACCAAACTCGTACGAACACGTCGGAACATGCAAACTGTGTCTACTTTTATAATAACGCTATCCTGGTGACATTGGAACAAACGTTTCGCGCTTAGAGCTCACTGGAACAGCCCGAGTAGTAGATGGTAGCACCTTAATGAGTTAGGCTTCAGAGAATACGCTGCTTCATCTTATCGCACAAATCATTGTTGCTAGTTGTATGAAGCTTTATCTGAAATCACAAGAAACAGCTTCCCGTCCTCTAGACACGTTCAAACAATCCGCAAAAAAAAGAAAAAACGACATCTCCTGGTCTTCGTGACGCCGTATCTAATAAGTTCAGGAAGTTGCATACGCGAATCGTAAATACGGCCAATCACGCCCGCTCTGCGCTAGGCGACAGAATGACGGCGGCCACGGGACAATCAGGAAACGAAGTGTCCGGACTCTAAGTCTAGGTACCTTGGGCTGTTCTAAGGAAGGTGCGTATTGGCACAAGGGCGAGATACCGGCTGGAGCGTGTGCACAGCATTCTGCCGTACAGGACGACGGCGCATTGGGGAAAGGTTGTGTATACTTCGTTTCAGCTTCCGTCCGAGCGCAGCCAAAGGCTGAGGGACGGTTCGCAACTTCGAGAAGAGCATTCCTACGCACCACAAAGTAGTCCGCAAAAGTAATTTCTTTTAAGATAACTGTTTTGTGCGTAAAAACTGCACAATGTTTCAGATGTGTACTGCTCAGAATGATTTTAAACTAAGGGAATCAAATCTCTGAAGTTTATGTTTCTATTAATATATGTAAATGCATGTGGTTTGGTGAAAACATGTATATCAGCTGGCAACATGGCTGCAGCGCTCGGTTTCTCTGTGTGATTTCGTTCCCGTAATCGCCGAATCATGTGCTTCGCTGCTTTCCTCACCGAGTCGCTTCAAAACGCCCTTGACGCCCTTTCGCAAAGGCACGTTTGGGCGTCAGGCGCGAGAAGTCGTGATGAATGTCAACTTTCAAATTCGGCAGGAGACTCTGGCCGCGTCGTACCGCGAATGCGTTGTAAACAAGCAAAGCGTCCGGGCCACTACAATTCAGATACACGGCCAAATCAGGGCACCCCTTTACCTGCCGATCACATTGAACGCCGAGAAGCTGGTGGAAAGGACTGCGCCTCGAGCCCTGGTATATCCAAACAATTCAAGGAAACATCAACGGCCTGGGTCATCGGGGACCTTGCAACGTGTACTTACAACTCGAAACTATGCCGAACAGCTGGAAAGCTCGGACACAGATGTCAGCGGCCAGCCTACGTACTGACATCGCCTGTGATTAAGTTTTAGAACGTGAAAGGGCACTTTTTAAACTTGTAGCAGACGATCGCAGACGATATCGTTGATACACCCGTAGCAGACGAAATACTTGGCGAGCGCGGGCGGCGCGGCCGACCGGCGGCGCAGCGGAGTGATACAAAAGTGCAGGCGAGATCGCGTGACCTATTGCCGTCGTGTGATTGGCTCCGGCCACACGTAGCTTTGGCTGCGCTCGGACGGAAGCTGAAACGAAGTATAGTAAGTCAAGAAGAGCCCATTATATGTGACCCCGATTGGCGGGCTTATACGGACGCCACATCGGCTGGTTTACGGGAGCGAGAGAGAGAAGAGTGTTGCCCGAGG